CTATTATTCCTCTCATTACAAAATGAAAAATGCTCTTTACTATCGAATAAATGCATATTGCTGCTTTCAGACTCTGCCTCCTGCATAAAACAGACCTCTGGGCTGGATTAACTCTCTACATTGTTAATGTTCCTGTTTATTCATACAACATTTGCTGTATTTGCTTGTTAAGCCTGTTTTATTCGTTTTATAAAATTTCATTTACCTATGGAGGGGTTTCTCCCCTACACAGTTGCACAAAATCATACATTCATAGTGCAAGCCCAGTCTTACCTGCTGGCCACTATATAACAGCAGATTACTTCCTCAAGAGTTGAGATGCTCCTAAATTGTTAATGAGGGAAGGCTCAGGACTGTGGGGGGCCCACGAATATGCAGCTTAGTGGAAGGAGAAACACGTGAAGGGAAAGAGCCGAGTGGTGTTTTAGCTGTGCTCAATTTGCTGTACTGTACAAGGGTTCACATATAGACACATTCATGCACATACATGCACTTTGTTGGCAAATAAATGGACGGCTTAATACCAACTGTCCTCACACTCACAGCCACACACACACACACATGCCGCACATACACAGGCCTCCTTGAGAACCAGCAGGAGCCATTATACTCCTCAGGCTGCAGCGATTAAACTGGCGTCCAGTTGTGCAAACTGGCGTGGCAGAGTAAAAAAAGACATCCTCTAAAACTATTCACATTTATTGATTTTCACAAAGCGCCCAACCGTGAACATTTTGCACCTGACATCTCTGTTTCTTGTGTTTCCAGAATGCTGCCTGCACCACTCATGACATACCAGTACCAGAGAAGCTTCATCAAAGCTGCCAGTGAGTGTTCTGTTTTTATTTTCATGTGTCTTATTTGTCAGTCAGCGGTACACAAGATCTCTTCTGCAGTTTGAGGTTGGTTGAGGTTACCCATATATAAAACTGTGAACAGCTATTCTAAGACCTCCTTGGAATAAAAAAAAACAAACTGTAGTAAATAAAGGACCATACAGTTTACTTGGAGTGCACATATTCTTACAACAATCTGCTACGAAGGATAATTGTTAAGTAACCTTTGATCTGTTATTGATTTACACTGAAGTCCTCTTGAGCCAGTTAATGGAATTCATGTTTTTAATGTTTGTTATACTTAAGACAGGGATTATTTGTCTTCTTCTTACCTCTCAATGATTTCTTAAGCTTTCCTCCTCAGTTTAATTTGGATTACGAGAACATTATATGAATCATCATGTGAATGAGGTTATGACTTGCTAATAAAACAGTTGCCAGTTACAAATAGACGGTTCACCTGCTGAGATACCAGGACACCCACAGGGCCACCAGGATGTCTGTTTGCTCTGGTAACTGGAGCCCCCTTACTGCGCCACTTTATGTTGTGTGTGTGTGTCACACGGTATGTTACTGACCTGCGGTGTGTAGTGTTTTTATATGTGATTTGAATTCCACATGAAGAGGAAAAAGCCTGGGCAGCGGATCTAAAAGTGACAACCCAATAAAAGCTTAGTGTTGTGAGGCTTGTTGGGTCAAACAGCAGCTGCAAAATGTTCCATTCATTTTTTTTTTTTTACCAACACCTGTTGGGTGTACTGTATTAAGGCAGGATAAATAATTTCACTCAGCTGTCTTGTAGACAGATTGGTTAAACTCAGCAGCCACAACGGTTACTGCAATTATTTCAGTGTATTAGATTCTTCTTATAAGGCTGCAAGGCTACGAAATAAAGTTTTGCAAGCACTAAATGATTTAGACCATGAAAGAGAGACTTTGCATGAGGATTCTTTACTGCACAATCTCATAGTTTGTGCTTCAAGGTTGTGTCTGGTCTTGATCCAGTTTAGTTTAGGTAGGCCTGTTTCCCCTGGCTTTCATGGTGTGGAGCATTTCTGTGTCGTTGCTGTATCTGCCTTTTTACAGAATTTTCAAAAATTGGGCTTATTCTAGCAAGCCCAGGTGCAGTTTAGTTTAGTTGGGTCCAGTCTGGTCTGCTGTGCTACAGGATGTGTCAGCGATCTGTTTTCTTTGTTTGTCGGTAGCTAAGCCTCTAGAAAGCTGAGCTGACAGGGGAAGGAACTCCAGGAAATGACCGTGTGTCTCTGGCAACGCCACCAGGAAATGGCTCCATAGTGAGGCCAACTGGAAAGAAAATGAGAAAAGTGTGTATTAGCAGAAAGGAGTAGAGCGTGGCAGTTAAGAATGCCAAGGTAACTGGTTTGATACCAACTTGGACCACCCATGCTAAAATGCATGTATTCATGGTTTTGTAATAATCATAAAATATACTGTGTATTTGCCAACAAATTTGTTGACGTTCGCAGATATCTATCTCTCGTCTTGCCCTAGTTCTTTTCTACTGTTAAACTTCTCTCTCTTTTGCCCTGTAATTCATCAGTTTCTGTTTATGTGGGTGTTTGAATTTGCATGTCATGAATGTGTGTGTGAATGCATATGTGCAAGAATGCGTGTCTGCTTGTGTGAGTGCACTTTTGTATTTTTTCCAAGGCAATAAATTCGTAGAAGCAGCAGGGTGTTTTGAGGACAGCGTCCTCAGTTGAACTCCTTCCTTCGGCTCTTCCCTCTCTCCTTCTCTCTTTCACGTATCTGCTTCAACTCCTCCCACCACCCTGCTCGCAAACCTCCTCTTCCTCTTCTAGTTTCGTCTCTGCTTACTCTCTCCATCCCGTGGTACTCTGGTTTTAAATATCTGGTTTAAATGGAGAGCCTATTGTTTTGAGGTTTGTTGGGTCAAACAGCAGCTGCAGTTTTTTACTTTTTTTTTTTTTTAACAGCACCTGGTGGGTGTGGTGTAATGGGACAGGATGAATAATTTAATTTCCAAAACACATTTTCACGCTCTCTTGAAGACAGATTGCCTAAACTCCAACAGTCACTGCAGTCATTTCAGTGTATTAGATTCTTCTCATGTGGCTCCTAGACTAGATGACAAAGTTTCGTAAGCACTTATTAGACCATGGAAAAGAGATTTTGAGAGATGAGGCAGAGGGAGCGTGGGGTGCCACCTGGATTTCGGGTACCTGCCTTAGGCATGTAACAACAAGAAAACATACAAATACCGTAATTACCCTGTGGGCTTAATTTGTAACTACTGCATGGTGAAGGTTTTTCTAAAGGTATAAAGATGAAGACATTATTCACTTTTATCAGCACTGTATTTTTTGCTTTATAACCTAATACATAAAAGAAAGAAAGGATAGATGACACAGGGGTGAAAGATGTTGACCATAAGTTGAATTTAATACTAATGTGCAGTTTGACATCCAGAGTCCATGGCAAATATTTCACAGGCTTTAAAAGATCCTATTCCTCTTTTCAAGCAGCCAAGCTTTTCATTTGAAAAAACAAACAGAAAGTCATTCTCTTTCCTCAGTATTGAAACGTTTTAATTAGGGATGGAAATTGAGAACTGGATTAGTTGAAAACTGGTTCCAAATGAAAGTACACTTATAATTTTACTGACATATCTTTCTATGCAAAATGTGCTTAAATTCCACGAACGCCGCATTTGACACTCTTTGCATTGCCACTGCTTCCCAACTGAGCACGTTGAGGGTAAATATCCTATGTTATAATAACATTAGCACCATGCAGGCAGGCTTAGAAGCCTTTTTTCCACACAGAACATTGATCAGGAATCAGGACTAAGGGAACAGATTTGGACGGATAAGCAGAAATGATCAAAATCATTAAATCATTAAATAAAAATACTATATTTTGGATATTTTATGTGAGTCCATCTTTTACATAGTAATCAAAGTACATAGCCCTTCTCTCTTATTTTGTCTGTCATTTGAAAGACTCTGAAAAGTGGTCAAGTGAAGACTTCAGGATGAATATACTGCCTGCTCTTTGAAATGAAGATGGATCTTCTCAAAATATCTGTTGTCCGTCCATCAAGCCATTAATTTTCTTTGTCAAAGTTGTGGTGGCAGCGGCTACAGGCATCAGTATGCTTCAAACAGAGCATTTTTGCTTTGACATTGTTTCCAGAAAGATCCCTTTCTGTGTCACCACATTATTCTACCTAACCTGCTCTGGAGATTCTTTGCTTTTGCTGGAAATACTGACATGGCTTTATTGACAAAAAGGAGAATGTTTGGCGAACAGTAATTTCTTAACAGCAAACCTGCTGGCATTACTCCTAACAATGGGAACCACTGTAGTCAATAATTTAGACTGCTTTGTGTGTGTGAATGGATGCAGGCAGTGTTATGTTGCTCCGAGCCAGGTGGTGTGATTTCAGCCTGCATCTAAAACAGTGGTCAAACCTTATGTTTTCTCATCTCCCGCATGATGATTCTGATCATTCCTGCCAGTGATGGCCAGATAGCTTCCAGCATGTCTTTCAGCTTGACAAGAAACAGATGACATAAAAAAGCAAACTGAAAACTGGAGATTTACTAAGACAAGCTACTCTTATTTCATTATTCAAATGAATAACATGTATATTTGCATGCAAAGCTTTCTGTAAGTAAACATTTATCACAGCACTTTTAGTTTGCCTGCAGCTGTTCATAGCGATAGTTTCTTTTATTGAAGCTGTGTCCAGGACTTAAACTCCAAAGTAGCCTTTTCTAGCCTTTACTTTGCTAATTGTAATGAAACTAAATATTTGTTTCTTCCCAAGTTTCTATGACCGTTTATCCATCAAGTGAGTAGATAGGTATGAGAACGAGTTTTGCATGTGGACTTAAAGCAGTATTAAATGGTTTAATTGGCCACTTGAGGGAAGAGGAGAAAGCTCTAAACACAACTTTGACCTTAAAAGGTTATAGAAGGGAGAGTCTGCTAATAATTCTCTGTGGGTTCATCGCTACTATTACACAACCCATTGTTGATTATAAAAAATATTCATGAGCAGGCATGAGTGCAGCTTTAAAAGATAATGTGTTTATTTGCAGTATAATAGTTTAGATTGTATTTTTCATGAAATAGGAGACCATTTGAAAGCCATTCCTTAGATTTTCAGATCAGTCACCCTCCAGATAAATTAGAATCATGTGTTCTCTTGTTCAGATTTTGCCAAATATGTGAAATGTGAAACACTCAGTTTGCATACCCCACTCTTAAAAAGAATTACTGTAGCAATTTGGTTGAAAATGAAAAACAAAGTTTTCCTTGTGAAAACTGTTATGTTTTGTATATGTATCTGTACATGTAGCCTATGTTTAGTTTTCTAGATTGTGTTCCACATCACTGTATGAATCCAAGCAGAATGCTAAAAACGAGATATGGGATAAACAGTGCTGCACATACTGCAAGGCCTGGAGATGTGAAGTATGAATAATGAATGATAAGAAAAGAGAACAGGTGGTGGTGCTGGAGTTTGTTAAGGATCAGGTGATGGTCAGCAGATGTGGCATGCTTTTTGAAGTAATGCACACTTCATTTGCTGTATAATGTGGGTGTGTACATGTTTTCTTTCCTGACTTTGATTGTAAAAGTATGTACTCCATACATAATCAAAATCCAATCTTGCTTAAGAGATGCACTGATTAACTTTTAATGAAGTGAGACCCTGATGTTTTTCTTATCTTTTCCGGAGCTGGGAGCTGTAAAGAAGGTGGTATTTTACACAAATATATGCGTTTATATCTGATTTCAAAGTAGTTTATAAAACTCTGAACATCCTTATCCCAATTAACCTCGTAACAAAAGACTTGGCCAAAGTCCTTACACTTAGGGCTCTATCTTGCACTCAGC